GTTTTATAGGGTTTTATAGGGTTTTATAGGGGTTTATAGGGTTTATAGGGTTTAGGGTCTAGGGGTTAGGGGTTAGGGTTTAGGTTTTGTTTGGGTTAAGGGTATAGGGTTTATAGGGTTTATAGGGTTTATGGGGTTTATAGGGTTTATAGGGTTTATAGGGTTTTATAGGGTTTTATAGGGTTTTATAGGGGTTTATAGGGTTTATAGGGTTTAGGGTCTAGGGGTTAGGGGTTAGGGTTTAGGTTTTGTTTGGGTTAAGGGTATAGGGGCTTATAGGGTTTATAGGGTTTATGGGGTTTATAGGGTTTATAGGGTTTTATAGGGTTTCATAGGGTTTATAGGGCTTTATGGGAGTTTATAGGGTTTTATAGGGTTTTATAGGGTTTTATAGGGTTTGTTTTGGGTTTATAGGGTTTTGTAGGGTTTTTTGGGTTTATAGGGTTTATAGGGTTTAGGGGTTAGGGGTTCCGGTTTAGGTTTGGTTTGTCTTACGCAAAGTTACGGTAGGGTTTTCAGGTTGAAGATATTGTGGTTTGGTTAGGCCTCGGAGCTTGGATTGTAGGGTTTGAGGTTTATGGTTGCGCACCCGAAGAACTAAACATGTGCTATACCTACTTGGGGAGTTGATCCAGGTCACCGTGGAAGCCATTGTATCCTGGCTTAAGGGTGCTTGGAGAGGCAGAGCCAGGATTGCCCCAAGCCACTGACTCCCGACTCTCACCCTAAACCCTAAACCCTAAACCCTAAACCCTAAACCCTAAACCCTAAACCCTAATGCAGGCCCAGCTCATGAGCGAGCTCTACGCTCGCATCGCGCAGAAGTGCGGCAGGCCGCTGCTGGACGAGATCGCAGGCGTGGGGCCCAAGCCGAGAGCCAGGCGAGGGTTAAGAAGTTAGGAGTCCATCTAGGGGGTTTAGGGTTTAGGGTTTAGGGTTTAGGGTTCAGGGTTTAGGGTTTAGGGTTTAGGGCTTAGGGTGGTTACCGATCTCTCTATGTACTATGCTACTACGACTGGGTTCTTTCATCCGCCTGGCTCCTTTTATCGGCGTCCAACATGCCTACTCCATACCCCGGTTGGTACAGAAACCCTCAGCTCTTCAACCCCAGGCTGGTTTTGGGTGTTTTGTTTTTCTTGTTTGTTTTTTGTTGTTTTTCTCGCGGGGGTGGGGGGGGGGTGGGGTTTTGGGGGGTTTGAGGTTTTTTGGGGTTTTAGGGTTTTGCGGGGTTCCGCTGAGTAGGCCGGGTTTTTTTTTTGACATCCCTTAAGAGGGGATCATGTCTGGGAGTGAACACGGGCCCAAGCCAGGGCTGCATGGCTGAACCCTAAACCCTGAACCCTCAACCCTAAACGCTAACCCCTAAGCCCTAAACCCTAAACCCTAAACCCTTCACCCCCGCAGCGAAGTGTTGTCAACGATGGCGAACCCGATCTCTGCCCACCCCCCCTCCCCAATCCACTCCTGACGGCCTCACAGTTCTAACACGAGCCTTCAGGAACTGTAGGGTTTGGTGTTTAGGGTTTGCTAAACCTCAAGCTTTCCCTCAGCCCAAAATCCAAAATAAACCCTAAGGATTGGGATGTTCCCCCTTATACTAACGTAGTCCCGTTTCAGGACTGCTAGTATAAGGGGAACATCCCAACCAAAGGGTTTTTTCCAGGGGGTCTTGCCGACCAGGTCCCAACTGCCATGAGCGCTTCGACGCCAGCTTGGAAAATGCCACCCGTCATCCATTTTGGGATGTTCCCCCCTTATACTTGCCGTCCTTCATAGGGGGTACTATAATCCCTGTTAAGGACTGTTTGTACAAGGAGGAACATCCCAACATCCATTGCTTGTCGGGTGTTTGTACAAGGAGGAACATCCCAACATCCATTGCTTGTCGGGCTGGTTGCTTATAAACGGGGGTCTTACGATATTAGGTACCTGATTGGGGTCCATTTTTATAAGGAAAGCCTACTATTTGGGAGTTACAATTCGGGGTCAATTATTTTTCGTAAACTCCCAAACTGGTGGGGTGGGTGGGAGGGTTTCAAGCCAAAGGGATACCCCACAAAGCGGGAGTTCCTCCCCAAGAAGGATTATGGTATTTTGGGGTACGCAAGGAATGCCCATGCCTAGATCTAGCTAGAAAGTACAAGCAGGGTATCAGGAGCCTACTTTTAGTTTCAAGCTCCTCCCCTGGAAGGCTCATCGGTAGGTCCAGGTGGGGTTATCAGTAGGGGAACCGCAACGATGACTGAGAAGACTGATAAACACCACCGTAGTAACATTCCCTTATACTGAGGACCCCCAGTAACGTACTCCTAATGTCGGAAACACCCATAAACATGCGCATACGTATATGCAGAAATACATACACACATATGCACGTTGTTTACGCCTGGCCGTGCATGAAGGCGACGCGAGTCTTCGACGCCATCGTGTCGGAGGAACTTGTGCAGCAGGCCGCGAATTCTGTTGGACCCCTCAATCACCATGCTTTCTGAACTGGGGGGGTTTCCGAAAATAAAGGATTGTAGTATTTGGGATATATTAGGGGTACCCCCTATATATTCGGAAATGCCCAACTGAAAAGGGTTCAGCATTTAAGGAGGGCTGTTAGGATTGAGGATTTTCGGGCTTAAGGGCCCTCAGAACACGCCTTCTCCCCCGAAGCCGCTAGATTCTGTTTTGAATATCACCTTGCCCTCTAAAATTAAAACCGAAAGCAGACCTGAAACGCCCTAAAGTCGTAGACAGCAGTGGTGCCACCTTGTCGGAGCAAGGTTCGTTAGTTCCTCACGTACAGCAGCAAGTTGATTGACGGGTTTAGGGTTTAGGGTTTTCGCTTTTGGGACCACAGGCCCCTAGCTGCAAGGGGCCCTGGACATACTAGGCAGCACAGCCTTGCCACCAGGAAGCAGAATTGTCCAAAGACGTCCAGCGGTGCCCTTGGGTCGTCTCGAGCTCTCTTTGACACAGGGCTTTGCCTTGAGTGATAAATCAGATTAGGGTCCGGGTTTGGGGCAACCTTGAGATTGTGGCCTCAAGGGTAAGGATAAGACGCCCGAGTAGTGCCATTGCTCCAATTCGGTTTATATCTGGGAAACCCAACATGTCGCGTTCAGAGTCCAAGCAGCAGAACGTTCAGGATTAATTCCAGAACGCTGGCTTTTGTGCTTTTTGTTGGGCCGGTTAAGGCTTGAAGTTCTCGGAGCTGTCAGGTTTGAGCCCTTATACTAACAGTCCTTCATAATTAGGGATTATCGTACCCCCCAATATAATCCCTATCAAGGACTGTTAGTCTAAGGGGGAACATCCCAAATCACCAGCATCAAACCCCCCCAAACCTTTGCTTTCAAGCCCCCCAGTGTTATTCAAGGCACGTCCACCTCCTCTCCAGTCGTGGGCTAAACCCTAAACCCCAAACCCCAAACCCTAAACCCAAAACCTTAAACCCTAAACCCTGGAGGTCTTTTTCTTTGTCGGGCCTATCAAGCGCAGGTGCCGCGCTACCATGTGTTACCACCAAGTCTTCCTTGACTGGTCAGTTCCTAGGTAGGCCCTTGGGAGGTCTTGTTCAGGAATATTTTCCACAGGGTTTTAGGGCCATCCTGGCCATCCCAGGGTCGAAGCTGTCCTGTAGAGCGCCACACTTCTGAGCCATGGTGCGCATGGTTGGGCGCCTCAGGATGCTGAGAAAGGCCCTGAGCTTCGCGCCGCCGACGCCGCCGTCGCCAGCAGCCTTCGCAGTAGCTGGCAGGAGGGCGACGGAGCTTGCAGGGGATGCAGCAGTGCGAGTCTTGCGGTACAGGTGGCATTTCGGACTTCCCCAAGGAAGCGCGTGCAAAAGAGCACTTGGGCTTGCAAGGGACTCTGCCGGCGCTTCCTATGAGAAGGCTAAGGAGGCTGAACCTTCGGTGGCTCTCACACCTTCCTTGCAGATAGCACGCAGAGCCACGGAGGCTGCTGCATATGCTAAGCGAGTGCGAGTCCTTCCATCAAAAGAGAGGGTTGAGGGTGCCGCGATGGTTGCAAAAGCTGTATGTGCAGTTGCCGCCGCCCCTGCTGTGGAGCGTGCGGCAGCAGTGGTTTCGCACAGTGCTTCTGCCGCTTTGAAGATCGGCAAAGCCACTGAAGTTGCTGGGCAGTCCTTGTCTGAAACCGGTGAAGCCGATGGCGACCCAGAAGCAATTCGATATGGTGACGCGATAGCTCGCACTGGTGCTAGGATTTCAAGAGCAGCCACTACGCTGAAGTCTGCTGCGGAAGACACATCGACCGTGGCTGCGAATATTTCGACTGTCGTAGCACCAACATTCGCTCAGGGATGCTACAAGGTGTGGAAGGGACCAAGTTGAAAAATGTAGACAGGATAGGGCAGCCGAATTTGGGCACCGCTTGTGATGATCCACAAGTAGTCCGCTATGCCCAATCACACGCGATGCTTCCTTGCGCTTGCCAAGAACTTTTGCTCCAGCGACACCTTTACTCGCTACCCACAAAGAAGCAGCATGGTGCTGGACTGCACGCAACGGCAGCTCTCACGCAACAACTGGATGTACACTCTAGGTTCTGCAAAGTCGTGCTAAGACCCGGGTACAGAAACTAGTGGACAGAATTTCCAAGGGCATTGCTGAAGTCCAGGCGTTGATTGACCGCAGCGCAGTCTCCCAAGTCACACATCCTAAGCCCTAAGCACTAAACCCCTAAACCCTGCACCCTAGACCCTACACCCCCTAAGCCCAACCCTACACTCTAAGCCCTAAACCCCAAACCCTAAAACCTTTTGTGCGTACGGCAGGGCATAGCTGCGTGGTTCCAGTGGCCATGGCTAGCTGATGCTGTCCTCCCCACTGCTGAAGAGGAGGCTCCCCCGCCCTAATCCCCCAACTCTTATTTTGGGGTTGAGGGTTAGGGTTTAGGGTTTGGGGTTTAGGGTTTAGGGTTTAGGGATTAGGGTTTAGGAATTAAGGGTAAGGGTTTTAGCGTTTAGGGTCGAGGGTTTAGGGTTGAGGCATTTGGGCCCTGTAGAACATCTCCGATTGAAATTCGGTTTCCTAACAACGTCGCCCGAGAAGGGGCCCCTGATTTAGAAGAACCCTCCGATTGCTGCGCAAGGAGGGTCCCTAAACCTTCAAACCTAAACCCTAAACCCTAAACCCTAAACCCTAAACCCTTTTCAGGGTTTAGGGTGTTTTGGTGTTCCCGAAACTCTAAGCCCTGAACCTGAAACCCTCAAAATCCCCCTCGCCTGAACCCCCAAATCCACCACCCTAAACCCTAAACCCTAAACCCTAAACCCTAAACCCTAAACCCTAAACCCTAAACCCTAAACCCTAAACCCTAAACCCTAAACCCTAAACGAGAGGCCCCCACCCTGGCGCGTGTGGCACTCCACCCTCGCGATCCGCTGGTGCCTCTTTCCGCTGCTTGCGTTGGCTTTCAGCGGCTCCTTGCTGGTCGCATGCCGCCTGGGACGCCAAGTGGTTTCGGGTTTAGGGTTTAAGGTTTCGGGTTCAGGGTTTAAGGTTTAGGAGTGAGTACAGGAGACTAACATCATTTCGAAAAGTATCCTCATACGACCTCCGCTATGACTACTGCAATTGAAGCGTATCTTGAAGCTACTTTTGAAAGGACCCGTTCCACTCAAACAAGCCACCCCTATACATGCATACAGACGCAAGTCTATATGTATACGGATACATCAGGACAAGTTCTTGCAAACCCCATGCCATAAGCTTGTCCATTTGGGGTGAGGCTTTCCGGGGAATGTTTGGGCTTCCGAGTCCTTGGGCAGGTTGTGTCAGTCTTGGTGTAGTGGGCTGATACCCCTCGTCATTTCACTTTGGGTTGGAGGTGTAGGTTAGGGATTAGAGTTTAGGGTTTAGGGTGTAGGGCCAGTTTGGGACTACTTCAAAACCCTACAACCCAAAAACCCTAAATGCCTAAAGCCGTAAGAGCCTAAACGCCCTAAAACCCTGAAGCCCTAGAGCCCTAAACCCCAATACTCCCTAGAACCTGAAAACCCAAAAACAATCAACCCTAAAACCCTGAAACCCTCACACCCTAGAACCCGAAAACTCCAAAGCAATAGACCCTCAAACTCAAATCCTATAAAACCTTTTAAAACCCGAAAAAAATCCTATAAACCTGTCTCAAACCCTCAAAACCCAAACAAAAAACCCTCAATCCCTCAAACCCGAAAAAGACCTTCTAACACCCTACAAAACCCCATAAAGACACCCCCCCGCCATATAGCACCTTTTCAAGCCCTCAAAAACCTAAGGAGAGCTAACACCCTACAAAACCCTATAAGAACTTGCAGAATTCCTTATCAAACCCTCAGCATCCCTACGGCCAGCTAACACCCCACAAAATCCTCCAAAAAACCCAGAACGCCTTCTCACATCCTCAAAAATCTCTAGGGCCAGCTAACACCATAATAAAAACCCAAAACCCTAAACCCTAAACCTAAACCCTAAACCCCAAACCCTAAACCCTAAACCCTAAACCCTAAACCCTAAACCCTAAACCCTAAACCCTAAACCCTAAACCCTAAACCCTAAACCCTAAACCCTAGGCCAGCTCTCCGGCCACTTCGCCACTTGGAGCGCTGCCGTACTGGCGGCCGACGCCTCCCGGGCCCGAACGCGGCCTGCGGAGGTGCTGGGGTTGAGGGGTTTAGCCCTAAACCCTAAACCCTAAACCCTAAATCCTAAACCCTAAACCCTAAACCCTAAACCCTAAACTTAGGGGTTTAGGGGTGTAGGGGTTTAGGGGTTAGGGGGTTTGGGGTTTCAGGGTTTAGGGTTTAGGGGTTTAAGGGTTTAGGGTTTGGGGGTTTCAGGGTTGCAGGGTTTAGGGTTTAGGAGTTTAGGGTTCAGGGTTTTACGAGTATAGGAGTTGAAGGGTTTAGGGTTTAGGGATTTGAGTTTAGGGGTTTAAGGGTTTAGAGTTTGGGGGTTTCAGGGTTGCAGGGGGTTTAAGGGTTCAGGGGCGTAAGGGTTTAGGGGTTTACGGGCTCAAGTGTTTTAGGTGGATGGCGCTTCGGGTTTTCTGGGGAGCCAAACTTCAAACCCCTAAACCCCAAGACCCCAAGGATGCCCGAAACCCCTAACCCCTAAAGCCTAGACCCTGAGCCCCTCAAACGAGGCCGCCGTGCTTCTGGCACTGGCCCTCGTCTTGGGAGGGCTCGTCTTGGCCTGCGCCCCGCTGGTGGGCCTCGAGGCCCCTGCGAGTTTAGGGCTGAGGGACCCTAAACCCTAAACCCTAAACCCTAAACCCTAAACCCTAAACCCTAAACCCTAAACCCTAAACCCTAAACCCTAAACCCTAAACCCTCAGCTCCTGGCGGCCTACACTGCGCTGCTGTGCCTCGGCGCTGCGCTTGGCCGCTGCGTCCGCGTGGGGCTGGGGGAGGCCGGGTGGCGCAGCCAGGGTGTTTTGGCGGTTTAATGTTTTGGGTTTAGGGTTTAGGGCTTCGGGTTAGGGTTTAGGGTCTAGGGTCTAGGGTTTAGAGTCTAGGGTTTAGGGCTTCGGGTTTAGGGTTTAGGGTTTAGGACTTGCAGGTTCATAAGTAGCTGGCTAGCTTGCTTGGAGATCTGCGGCTGATGAAGTTTTCGGCTTCTGTTTTGGTGGTTTCTTTCGGTTGGTAGTTCTGGCCTGTCCTAAGTAGGATAAGGGGGGCCCTTTTCAAGGGAACCCCTTCTTAACCCTCTTCTGGCTCTCTTAAACAGGGACCTTATTCAGAGGGTCTATAGCCCCAACAGTCCCCCTAATCCTATCCCCTAGCCTTTAGGTGCAGGCCTGGAAGGTCCAGGGCTCGCGCCCCTGACTTATGCTTTTTACAGCTGTAGGCGGGTGGTCATGCCGCCGTTCTCGGGGCTCATATTGAAGATGCTTCATAGTTATAGAAGAATGCTCTCCTTGCTGGGTTTGGCGTGGGATGTACAGTCGCTGCACTGCTGCACTCACCATGTATAGCCTGCTTCATGGACATCCAGCAGCACTCTCACCCCCATTCCCCTGTCGACTCGGAGCCTGAAGCCCGTAAATCCATAGCTCCATCGCAGACGAAATCGGGAAGACGCTTTAGCTCGGGCGTTTGGGATTCAGAGGTTTCAGGCGCTAAGATTTTTTGTCCCCTCCGGCCGCCGACCACAAAGAAGAAAGAGAAGCCCTTGAAGGTCTCACAGGGGTTGTGATGTTCTACAAGGCTGTACTTGGAAGAAGTGGTGAGGGCACGGGGGTACTTGGGCGCTGCATGATCTTGGCATCGCATGGGGGTTGTTTAATTTTGTTTGGCATCCTGGTCCGAAACTACAACTTGTATAGGTCCGCAAACAATCCGCTGTGTCGCTCCCCCTCCACATCCTCAGCAGGCTGGCACGGCCTCATAAACGACTGCTTGCTGGCTCAGTGCAAGAAGTTCCCCACCCCCTCCCAAAGCCACTCCCAGCTTTGCTCGGGGGGCACCCGGATAGCAAAGTCCAGCAAAGTCTCCATGGCCGCCTGCGAACTCCACGCCGACTGGCCCTACAACATCCTCCGCTTGTGGAACCAGCCGCAGAGGGTCGGAACGCCCAGGGTCTTGCAGCTTGGTAGTCCATTGCTGCCCTTTTTCCCCTTTTTTTGGTTCAAGTTTCCTCATAACACGAACGCTAAACCCTAAGCCCAAGAAAAGGATGCCCCTCTCAGATATGTTTACTGGAAGAACCCAGGCAGACCTACCTGGGGCAGCCGCCAGGATCGCTGCGATTCCTGGTGAACCCCAACTTCGCCAGCAAGGCTGGGAGCCATGATGGTACACTATATTGCTTTATTTATTATATATTCAGTTTATATCCTCTCATAGATGTGTATACATATATAAAGATGTACATACATATATATATATATATACATAGAAAGATATACTAATATTTACATTGTATGATATTGCATATTGTACTGCCTTTATGTTGTCTATTAAATTGTTTCCATTATGAGATACACTTTATGATGTATTATGTTTTTTGTATCATAGATTATGATAATTTATTTTATATTTTATACTATATAGTATATATATTAGGATATACATGTATTATGTATTGTATTATGTTTTGAACTATGCATATACAGAGAGACAGAGAGAGAGAAAGAGAGAGAGAGAGAGAGAGCGAACAAGTATTCCCCAACTCCGTGCATCACCCCAGCACGTAGAGCCCTTGCATCTCTGAGATATCCTGGCAGACTTCAGCACATGAACGCCAAATCCTGAACACTACTCCCAGAGCCGTGCGACCCGTAGGGTTTAGGGAAACCAGAATTGTGTTCGGGCAAGGACTTTCATGAGGTCCGCGAGATCACGCAGGGAAGCCGGAAGGAAGAAGTGCGCCTCTACGTGGTCAAGGAGTATGAGGGCCACCCTACTTTGGAGGCTTGGTGGTGGCTTCTTTCAGGAGGCTTTTTGACTGGTTTTCTTGAACTCTGGATTGCCCTAAACCCTACACCCTAAACCCTATAACCCTGAACCCTATAACCCCAAACTCTACAACCCTACACCCAGAACCCGAACCTTAAAATTCGAGCCCTTCTTCCCCCCGGCTGGGCCCCCAGAGGTGGTTGATGCCGATGACTCTCACGGGGAGCCGGATGAAGAAACTGGCAATTGGTGCTGTCTCCCGCCCTTCATGAAGGTCTGGGGCCAGAAAGACGCATCCCCAAGCAACCCAAAGATGTCTGTCGCTCCCAATAGTAGGCTCCCCGAACCCCAAAGTGTTTTGCAGACGGACGACTTTTTCTTGAGAGCAGTTGAATGGGTGATTTGATTTGTAGGTGGCTTGGAAAGACTAGCCTTTGATCTGCAAAGAAGCTGTTTGGAACTTCATGAGGACTGCTTGACTTCACTTGTAACAAAGAGGGCCCTTAACGAGGCTTAAGAGCTTCATTTGGAATCTTTACGAATACAACTTTCTGTCTGCATCGCAAGCCTATGTCGCAGTGGCACATATGGCCACTTGAATCGCCCCATGAGCCATCGTTGTTGCGCGCTGCCGCCATCGAGCTTCTGTTGATTTAGCTTGGGGACCCTAAACCCCAACCCCCCACTGACAAAATGAGTCTTGCTGCATGCACGCTCCCCTCTTGTACGGGAAGCTCTCTGCCTCGATGCAAGCGGCGACCAGTGCCCGGATTTGCGGCCCGCGGTAGTATAACACAGGGGCCTTAGTCTGTTTAACAGGGTTTTGGGCGGTTCTTGTAGTATATTTATAAGAAGGGCCATAAGGAAATACAATTAATGATTATTCCGACCCCTATATTAATCCTAAACCCGACACCCGCAGACCCTCGGCCAGGGCTTCGCGGAGACAGGTGGCTACCAATCTGCGCCTCGGAGCCTGGTTAGCCTTGTAGGAGACTAATGGCTTCGGGTTTAGGGCTTAGGGCTTAGGGCTTAGGGCTTAGGGGTTAGGGTTTAGGGTTTAGGGTTTAGGGTTTAGGGTTTAGGGTTTAGGGTTTAGGGTTTAGGGTTAGGGTTTAGGGTTCAGGGGTTTATTAGGGTCGACCTAGACTCCTACATCACGCGCATAAGAGTGACCTCCGCACCCGTTGTTTCGGGCCTCTGGGGCCCATTTTGAGGGACTTTGAGTGCGGGACTTTTATGGTGATGTGGGGGTTTCCGAGGTGCCCTTTTTTTGGGGGGGGGGGGGTCCCTTTAAGGGATTCTACTCGATTTGGGGTATAAAAGGAGTACCCCGATTTTGGGAAATAACCATGTCGGGTTCAACACCTTGGCTGCGCCAAGGTGTTGAACCCGTCAGAGCTTCAAAGCCTCGCAACCTCGGACCTCGCCCGAGTGGCGGCCTTCTTGCGCTCCGACGCCTGAGCCTTCCCTGCAAAGGGGCGGGTTGGGAAGGGTTAGTGTTGGTTTCTTGAAAATTATTGGTTTAGGGTTTATAGGGTTTAGGGTAGTTGCGAAAGACGTATAGACCCCAAGCCTTCAAATAAAGGAACAGTACTGGGGCTGAAGCTCAGCTCTCAATGAGCCTTGGCAACCAAGGCAAGTCGGTGTTCGTGCTCACCGGCGCTGGCGTCTCGACTGGCGCCGGCATTCCCGATTTTCGGTCGGCCGGGGGTCTCTATGATACTAGGTGGGCCCTTGGGACATTTTATATTTTCCCTTGTTGTGTTTAAGAGGATCATACTCATATTCATGAATATTTTTCAGAGGGTTTAAACGGCCATATCCTAGGATACCGTGCGCCCTGACCTCATCACAGCGAGCTTTCTGCAGCGCCAGAAGATGCGAATGGATCCCACTTACGTGGTTGAGAGGGACATGTTCTTCCAAAATGCCTTCCCCTACCTGGAGGTCAGGCGGCCCTTCATCCTCGGCACCCACCAGCAGCAGTGGAAGGCAACCATTTCCCACTGGTTCATGAAGTTTCTGGAAGAGGAGGGCAAGCTGAAACGCCTTTTTACCCAGAACATTGACGGCTTGGATTACCAGGCCGCTTTGCAGCAAATGGTAAGGTGACTGTTTTCTCCCCAGACCCGAATTTTGATGGACCATTCCCCCCACCCCCCTGCCAGACTGGCATCTCGCCGGGACGGGTCACGAACGTCCACGGCAGCATCGCGCGCGTGTCCTGCGAAGGCTGTGGACAGGAGATGCCGTTCGACGATTTCTGCACCCAAGTCCGTGCCAACATAAAGGACACAGAGCAAGTGATCGCATCGCAGGTCACTTTCGGGCATAAGGAACCGAAGCCTACTACATGAGCCTAGATGTTTTCGAAGATTATTTTCTTATCAGCCGTGTATAAACATCATATGGGCGTTATCCGCAAACCCTTGTCTTCTTTTTTTAATGGCGAATATTTTATATAGATTTCTGCTTGTTTTTTAGTATCCGCGAAAGGCCCGCGAAAGCGCGGCGGAAGGCGCCGCGAAAGGGATAATCTGGTTGATAAAAAAAATATCATGCCCCTTAACCCTCAAACCCCAAACAAGTGCGTTTAGGGACCGCCCCTAAACGCACCCGTGGTGCAGGTTTCAGCCTATTTGGGGTTCATACTGATAGAATTTCCTGTCTCTTAAGCCGCAAACCCCAATGCGAGTGCGTTTAGGGACCGCCTCTAAACACACCCATAGTGCAGGATTCAGCTTATTTGGGGCTCATATTGATAGAACATCCTGCCCCTTAACCCCCAAGCCCCAATGCGAGTGCGTTTAGGGACCGCGCCTAAACGCACCCATTGTGCAGGTTTCAGCCTATTTGGGGTTCATACTGATAGAAAAATCATCCTGTCCCTTAAGACCCCAATGCGAGTGCGTTTAGGGACCGCACCTAAACGCACCCATTGTGCAGGTTTCAGCCTATTTGGGGTTCATACTGATAGAATATCCTGTCTCTTAAGCCGCAAACCCCAATGCGAGTGCGTTTAGGGACCGCCCCTAAACGCACCCATAGTGCAGGCTTCAGCCTATTTGGTAGAACATTCTGCCCCTTAACCCTCAAGCCCCAATGCGAGTGCGTTTAGGGACCGCGCCTAAACGCACCCATTGTGCAGGTTTCAGCCTATTTGGGGTTCATACTGATAGAATAATTATCCTGTCCCTTAAGCCTCAAACCCCAATGCGAGTGCGTTTAGGGCCCGCCTCTAAACGCACCCATTGTGCAGGTTTCAGCCTATTTGAGGTTCATACTGATAGAGTATCCTGCCCCTTAACCCTCAAGCCCGAATGCGAGTGCGTTTAGGGACCGCCCCTAAACGCACCCATAGTGCAGGTCTCAGCCTATTTGGGCTTCACACATACTTTGTTTGCTCCCCGACGAATGCATTTCAAACGCACCCATATGGGGCTTAGGGGATTTTATGCCTGATGCTTGAAAGCATTCGGGGATCAGGGGCAAAGTGCGTTTTGGAAGACTTCAAAAATGCACGCTGATCCCTGTCGAGTGCAAAAACGCAGGCTTGGATGGTTGATGGCACGTGCTGGAGAGCAAGATCTCCGCGACTGACCGCGAAAGTCCTCCCTGATTTCACGCTGTTTCTGAGAGGAAGCGCACGCTGAAAATGGCGAAAGGCACGCGAAAGGTCCGCGAAAGGGACGCGATTGGGCGACAGGTCCTGGAAAGGTATTGGCCAGCTGTGCTTCCAACTTCCATTAAATCTGGCTGATAGAATATCATGACGATTAGCCCTCAAACCCGAAACGAGTGCGTTTAGGGACCGCGTGCAAACGCACCCATGGTGCAGGTTTCAGCCTATTTGGGGTTCGTACTGATGGACTCTCATGCCCGTGCAAACGCACCCGTGGTGCAGGTTTCAGCCTATTTGGGGTTCGTACTAATGGACTCTCATGCCCCTGCACACCTCAAATCCAAGTGAGTGAGTTAAAACTGCACTATGGGTGCGTTTAGGGGCGGTCCCTAAACCGCATTGGGGTTTGAAGTGTTCAGGGGCATGAGAGTCCATAAGTACGAACCATAAATAGGCTGAAACCTGCACTATGGGTGCGTTTAGGGGCGGTCCCTAAACGCACTCGCATTGGGGTTTGAGGCTTAAGGGGCAGGATATTCTATCAGTATGAACCCCAAATAGGCTGAAACCTGCACAATGGGTGCGTTTAGGCGCGGTCCCTAAACGCACTCGCATTGGGGTTTGAGGCTTAAGGGACAGGATATTCTATCAGTATGAGCCCCAAATAGGCTGAATCCTGCACTATGGGTGCCTTTAGGGGCGGACTGCTTTCAGCACATTGATTCCCCTTCTTGGGATGAGAGAGCAAAGTGCGTTTTGAGGGTCCTGGAAAACGCACACTGGAGCTTGTATTTGGTTTTGTCGACCACTTGTCCACAAGCATTGAAATTAGCACATTGATTCCCCTTCTTGGGATGAGAGGGCAAAGTGCGTTTTGGGGGGTTTGGAAAACGCACCCAGCTTCCCTGCTGTATGTACTTGGTTATGTCGACTATATCATCGACGAAAACTCTATGATAGTTTTACGTCTCCGCGAAAGGGCGCGAAAGGTCCGCGAAAGGCGCGGCGCTTGGTGCTTTCCTGGGAACAAGAAAATCAGACAACCCCCATATCAACCGTCGCCCCAATAATGTTGACCCGAACCGGCCCTCGCCCCTACACACTCGAAGTCAGCAGTCGCCGCGTCTCTGGTCCAGGAGACTACGACATCTCCAAGTTTCGAGCTTCGAGACCCCAATCCCTAAAGTGTTAAACCCTAAACCCTAAACCCCAAACCCCAAACTCTAAACCCTAAACCCAGATCGACACCAGCCGACTCAACAGCCCCTAGGACCCAGAGTAGGCCCTTACTCCCTTTTTTTGGGGTTTGGGTTCCCTTTTCACCCCCTTTACACCAAAAAGGGAACCCTCTTACTTCCTGGGTTACTCCTGGGTCACCCTAAACCCCAAGCCCTAAGCCCTAAACCCTAAACCCTAAACCCTAAACCCGGGATAATGAAATGGGGGCATTTAATGTTAGGGGCCTTAAGTCGGAGGACATCTACAAAGTGGATCCTGAGGCTCCAGAGGAGTCCACCAACATCCCCTGCCCCTTGCGCGGCGCTTGAGAGCATGGTAGGGTTTCGGGTTTCGGGTTCAGGGTTTAGGGTTTGGGGTTTGGGGTTTGGGGTTTAGGGTTTAGGGCTTAGGGCTTAGAGTTTAGGCTTTCGGGTTTAAGGTTTAGGGCTTAGGGTTTGGGACTTGTGGTTTTTTATTAAAGCCCGAGACGAAAACCCGACTACTGCCTCTTCCCCTCGGCAAAGGTCCCTCCTGCAAGCGGCCCCTCGTGAAGCCCAACACCATCCTCTTCGGAAGCTGCCTCCCAGAAGAGAGCTTTGGACCGCCAGAGGGTTTATGGTTTAGGGTTTAGGGTTTAGGGTTTAGGGTTTAGGGTTTAGGATTCAGGGCTTACAGGGCGTGTGGCTACCACATGGTTTCCGGGCGAACGGTTTAGGGTTTGGGGTTTAGGGTGTCCCGGCGGAGGTCTCGCGGTCAACTCTTGCACAAGTTATACAAAGAGGTTTAGGACGTCGGGCTGTCAGAGTTTTGAATCGGTATATGCGCATTGTAGGACCTAAACCCTGAACCCTGAACCCTAAACCCTAAACCCGGTGGTTCAAGGTGAAATCCGGTGAAGCAAATGCTGTGCTGTGGCGCAGCCGAGGTTCTTCGAGCGAACTCCTGAGTTAGGCCAAGCTGATCTTCTCCTCGTGGCAGGCCTGAGCAAAACCCCCAAACCCTATAACCTCAACGGCAACTTCGCAGTGTGTCCGTTTTGTGGGCGGCAGTTGCTGCCACAGGTCCTCAGTACCTAATATAGGGTAATAGGGTAGACCATACACTCCTTGAAACGGCGCATGCCTGGAGGGAAGCAACAAACAACATAATTTCCATCTTCGACCCTATGCCCGAAGGTCCCCCAAGCCCGCAACTCGCCCGATGGCCCAATATTGGTGCCCCAAACTGTGTACGCTTGGAACTGGTTGGGCTTCGGCAAACAGGCGCCCCTAAACCCTACACCTTGGGATGTTTTTTCTTATGACTTATAACTGACAGTCCTTAATAATTAGGGATTATAGTACCCCCTACTATAATCCCTGTTAAGGGCTGTTAGTATAAGGGGGAACACCCTAAACCCTAAACCCTAAACCCTAGACCCTAAAGCGCCTCAAGTTAAAAGCCTGGAACTCTGCCAGGCACCTCGCTGGTGGTTTCACCGGCCAACTCGGTCGTCAACGAGGCCGGCCGCAGTCGTTTGCTGTTTTCACGTTAGGGCTTGGGGGTTTTAGGGTTTAGGGTTCAGGGTTTAGGGTTTAGGTTTAGGGTTCAGGGTTTAGGGTTTGGGGTTTAGGACCCCCTCTATACAACCCCGCCCCTCTAGGTTCCCACCATATGTAAGCCTATTCAGGGCTACCTAAGCTTAATTCAGGGTGTTTAAGGTGGAAACCTAGGGGAGGGGGTAGTATAGAGGGGAGGTAGTAGGGGAACCCATGATGCTTGCCTCATCCCCTTCAGCTGAAATAGCATCAGCCAAAGAACTACGCAATGCACTGGAAGGCCATAAACCGGGAGTTCCTCTGCCCCCGTCCATCCCCTGCAGAAAAGTCACAGGTGCCGAGCAGCTGCATGCGGGTGATCGTCAACCGTGAGCAGGTGCCTGTTGTGATCATAGCGGGGATGTTATTTTTTTTGCAGAGTCTTCTGGTCTTGGCAAACACCATCGAAGCACCCTAAACCCGAATAAACAAGTTTAGGGTTTCGGGTTAGGGTTTAGGGTTTCGGATTTAGGGTTTAAAGCACTTGGTACAGTGCAGGTGGGCCGTGACTTGGGCATCGACTATGGGATCTCCGCCGCACGAGATATCTGGTCTGGCGAGAGAACTTGCGATGAGATCCATGGCCCCAGCTGGTCAGTTGTCTAACGTATTGTCCCCTTCTGGGGGTTCCCAGCCGACAAGGGGCGAGCCCTCAAGGGTAAGGCCTGAACCCCTAAGGCAAGACCGGAACCATAGCAAAGGAAGCCCAGACCCGAAACCCTGAACTTTACACCCCACCCCGAAAGGGAAGCACCGTGAGCTGTCAAGCCGAGTCGTCCTAAAAGGATGAGTCCTGAACCTTACGCCCTGAACCCTCCATGAAGGTGTTTTATGAAGTCTAAGGTTTTAGGATTTTAGGGTTTAGGGGTTTGGGGCTTAGGGTCTTACACCAGCAACATCAAGCGTCCCATGCTTTGTTGTGGCCAAGGACTTTTCTGGAGCTGATCAAGCTTATGGGGTGGCAGGATCGGCTCCGGAGGATTCTGGGCTTGCGCTTAGAAGACCCTGAACCCTAAATCTTGCCTAGCCAAGTGGCCCGTACCCTGGTATGTCAAGCCGATGAAACCACGTCCCAGACTGTGAAGACCATGGAAACCCCGAAAACTTGCCGGGGAGTCTGCAACTTGAGGAGGGGATCGCGAGGAGGGGAACCAGGGGTTCCCATAGGATACCTGTGACGCCACACGACCGAGTGCGGAGGCGAGCTATGATAACGTAGTCCAAGTTCCTCTAACAGCAAACCCCAAACCCTGAACCTTAAACCCTAAACCTAAACCCGAAACCCTAAACCCTAAGCAAACCGAGGATCCGGCACCTGCTGCCGGAGAGCAACCGGGAGATGATCCAGGACCGGTAGTAGGAGCGTTGAACAGCACATTTATTGGGCCTTAGGTCCTTTTGGTGTCTTAAAACCCTATATCCCAGACCCTAAACCCGGTTCCTTATACAAATCTGGTGCCTATTTGTGTGTTGCTAGGGCTGAGCAGCTGCTGGTTCTCATCTCGGTTCTCATGTCAATGCCTTACATCAGGGTGGCTTTTACTCGGGATCCCCCTTTGCGGTACCACTTGGGATGTTCCCCTTGTATTAAACGTCCGCATTAGGGATTCTAGTACCTCCATTCATAATCCCTATGAAGGACTGTCAGTATAAGGGGGAACATCCCAAGGTAACACTATCGAAAAGCACGACTCCAGCTGGAGGACCTGTGAAATGCCTCAGCCTCTCTGGGAGGCTGACGCCTGACGACTGATCTTGAGCTGGGCGAGGTATTTGCCCTGCTGCCAAAGGCAGCGCCCAAGACCCGAATTCCATGAACAATACCAATCTCGAGAATCATACATAGAATAGGGATGACAACGTTGATCATGCAGTTATATCATGAGAAAGCCATGCCGGATGTTGCGGCATATTCAAACTTCTGGTAGCAAAACCTGCGGGCATGGCCTGAAGACCTTTGTACAGAAATGAGGTTCGCTACTCAGGCCGATGCTCGGCAACTCCGACTGCAGCCGAAAAAAAGCTGTTGGCACGTTTTCGGGCAGTGGCCAAGGCTACTTATCCTAAACGTTACTTAGGCCCTAAAGTTCGCAACCGTTTACATGAACCCCCAAACTACCAAACCGTGAACCACACCACGCTAACCCCCCCCCCCCCCCACACCGGCCATGCCGTTTTGTATGTGTGGAGGCTCTCTATGCCACCTGGACAACCAGCGAGTCCTTGTTGGGCCATCTTGCTGCAAGGAAGAGCGATTATGTGCTAGTAAGGATGTACCCTATAAACCCTAAACCGTAACCGTATAAACCCTAAATCTTAAACCAGGGCTTAGGGTTCATGGGATTTAGTGAGAAGAATGCTTTTCGAGGCTTCAGGTTTAGGCGTCCGCCTGTGCACTGTAATGTTGAAGTTTTAGGGTTTAGGGTTGAAGTTTTAGGGTTTAGGGTTTCAGGTTTAGGCTGAGGATGTGCTATGTGTGGGCTCTTGCTCAGTCTTGCTGAGGCTAGGGATGCGTTGAGGGGCATCGGGTGTCTTTAGGGCGCTGTGGGGCTTAGCGGCTTCGGGCCTTCTAGGACGTTTACACCCCAAACCGTAAACCCCTCGCAAGTGAAGGCATGTTTGGGAGTCTTGTATTTCAATACCGAAAACCAAGAAAACGGGAGTCGGAAGAGTGGGCTATGCGGTCAGTTCTCTATGTACGGAGCTTCATGAGGGCGCTGGAAGAGGACCCTAATGTTGAAGAACCCTTAGCGTGCGCTCTAAGGGCGTCAGGGTATCCCGGCTTCGCGGACCGATGTTTTGTGGTTGTAGTGTTGGGAGACGAGTTTGCAATTTCAGCCTTCTCCTGGGTTTAGGGTTTAGGGTTTAGGGTTTAGGGTTCAGGGTTTAGCTACGTCTTTCAGGCTGTCAGGTTTGGTGATGCAGGAGCGCAGAGCACGTTAGCATGGTCGAGCCCATGTGGCAGGACTCTGCTTCCCAAGGTTCCTTGCCGATACGACCAGTGTTCGTAGACCCTACACCATATGTCCCAAACCTCAAACCCTAAACCCAAAACCCGAAACCCTAAACCCTAAACCCTTAAACCCTAAACCCCAAACCCTAAACCCTAAACCCTACTCGCCTTCACCAGGCCTGGGCATGTCTTCGGGCTTGGTTTTTGCAGCCTCCACGCTTTTGGCAGACACCCACCGCCGCATTGTTCCCTGGCGCACCCTTTGTTTTAGGGTTACAGGGTTTAGGGTTTAGTTTTAGGGTTACAGGGTTTAGGGTTTAGGTTTAGGGTTTAGGGTTGAGGTTTTAGGGTTTTAGGGTTTTGGGGTTTGAGGGTCTTAGGGTTTAGGGTTGAGGGTTTAGGGTTTAGAGTTTATGTTAAGCTGTGTTTTGGAATACTATACTTTAACATGTTTTTGATTCTAGGTTCCTGTTGTGGCTACTGATATCTCAACAGTATATACTTTTTTTCCAGCGTCTACTCCGGTAGGGGTTCCCTGGCGCATTTTTCTCCCTCTCTCAGGTCGCCCCCCCCCCCCCCCCCTCCAAGAGTTTCATATTCCCTAAACCCTCAACCTCAAACCCTGAAACCTTAACCGGTACACAGGGAAACATTTGACATTGCGGGGGCTTGGAGTTGGAGAGTTGGATGATAAACCCTAAACCCTCAAATCGGTGCTCAGGAGCCCGGGTGGCAGTTCACCTGGTACGCTCTCTGCATCAACTGTGGGCTTAGCTTTCTCTCCACCGCCGTGGCGGTGCCGTGCCCCAGAAGCATGAATGGACTTTGCCTGGACCACCTCGGGCTCAATTAGGGGCACCGATGGTGGGTACAAAGCCCTAATCACCCAAATCCAAAGAACTCCTAAAGCCCCGAAATCCCAAAATCAACCCTAAAAAGCCCCCGAAGTTCTTGAACATTTAAACACATGTGGCAGAAGTTGGGTATGGAGGGGACCCTTCTATCCCCCGGGTCTACGCTTGCCTCAGTCTTCGTTGCAGATCCGACCATCGTTGTTCCCTCCTTTAGGGTTTAGGATTTAGGATTCAGGGTTTAGGGTTTAGGGTTTAGGATTTAGTTCAGGGTTCAGGTTTCAGGGTTTAGGGTTTAGGGTTTAGGGGGCCAGTATGTCGGAGTAGGCCCCTAAAACCCCTCCAAAGCTTCACGGGCCTGCTTAGATTCAAGAAGCATGCGTGTGATTGAAGGGCAAGCCGTGAAGCTGCACTTACAACCTGTTGAGCCCTTGCTGAGGTCACACATAGGCCTATGCACAAGTACACCTGAAGTTTCAACTGATGGAAACCCTAAACCCCAAACCCTAAACCCTACACTCTAATTTCTCCAACAAGCAGCCAGTCCTTAGGGTGTACAAAGTTTCGGGTTTCGGTCGTGGGACTACCTTCAACCCCTAAGGTTGCATACCTATTTGGGTTTGGGGCCCCTTTTCAAAGATCCTCTAAGGGAATATAGGGCCCATATTCGGAGTACATGAAGGGAAGGGGTACATTCTTAGCGGTCCTGGCTTGATTCCCTTGACTCGAGTGGATTTCATCTTTAGGGGGTTTAGGGTTTCGGGTTTAGGGTTTAGGGGGTGCTTTTTCTTTGTGAAAAGCATGTGCAGACTACACACTGAAGAGACTACAAGCTTCCAGAAGAGGCTTCAGCTAGAGCTTCTGACGATGGGGTGAACATCACGGGCTTTCATGATTCTGTCTTCAGAATGGATGCACCTCTGCAACCTGACTGAGCTGCCTCAAAACCCTCTAAACTGAACCCCCCTAGCCCCTCTAGAGCTCCTACACCCTAAACCCCTTAAACCTCGTAAAGCTGAGCCCCAACCCGAAGCACCTGAAGGCCCCGGACTTAAACCCCTTAACCACCCCAAAAACCCTTTCATGCCCACATCCTTTCAACCCTACACCCGAAACCCTACACCCTAAACTGAAGTTTAAAGACTCCAGAACTAGGACCCGGAGTCGGCTCCCTTTCCCTTCTTTTGGGGTTGGGGTTCCCTTCTAGTCCCCTTGAAACCCACAAAGTGTTTAGAGGGGTTTAGGGTTTAGGGTTTAGGGTTTAGGGAAGAAGGGTACCCCTTTTTACTCCTCGGCTCCTTATGGGTCTAGATCAACTCCCCACCTCCATCTGCCTCGCAGTCTCTTGTGCTGCCGGGCAGCGCCGGGCGAGACCCGGAGTATTCTCCGCTCGTCAGAAGATCAGCAGGCGGGGGATTTGGGGGTATTTCCAAAAATAGGGGGGGTACCCTGAATATACCCCCCAAAATAGCAGAGTCCTTTTTATAGAAGCCCCAAAAAAATAGGGGGGGGGGGGGGGGTACCCTTAATATACCCCAAAAAGGGCACCCCTATGTTCGGAAACCCGAATGTTGGCGCTGAAAAGGGTTTAAAGGCTCTAGGGGTCGGAGGACTTGGGAACTCTAGGAGGTAGGGTTCAGGGTTCAGGGTTCAGGGTTCAGGGTTCAGGGTTCAGGGTTCAGGGTTCAGGGTTAGGGTTTAGGGTTGAGGGTTCAGGGGTGTGTTGGTGGTGAGCTTTCCGGGTCACGGGTCCGGCTTGTAGGGACTTTGCCCAGGCTCCAAGTATTTTCAGGTCAAGGTTCTCCATAACAGCAGGAGGCTCCTGCATGTTCAGGGTTAGTTTGTTCTGGGGTTTGTGCCGCCCTCACAAGTTGCGGCGGGCTGCTGTCATTGTTTCTGTGCCGTAGCGAAGTTATGCGAAAGTTATGTCTCTCCTACATAACCCACCCTAAACCACCCTAAATGCCAAGCGCAAGAGTGTTTCGTAAGCCGCGAAATCATGTGGATCTTAGGGGCACGTGCTCTCACCCTAAACCCTAAACCCCAAACCCTAAACCCGAACTGCGAATAAGCAGGCCAATGTTCACTGACATGCCCAACTACTTCCCAAACTTTCTTTTTGGACCCCAGAGCCCTCAACCCTAAACCCTTTAGGTTTAGAGGTCTAGGGGTTTAGGGCTTTAGGGGTCCTAGACCCTAAACCCTAAACCTTAAACCCTAAACCCTAAAGCCCTAAACCCTAAACCCTAAACCCTAAGCGCCCTTAGCTTAGGGTCACAAGAAGGTCATCGGAGCGGGAGATGACGAGGTTGCGGAGATCGCGCGCATAGCTGTTGAGGTGCATGCGCAGGCGGGTCATTTAAGGGACTTTAGGGTATAGGGTTTAGGGCTAGGGTTTAGGGTTTAGGGTTTAGGGTTTAGGGTTTAGGGTTTAGGGTTTAGGGTTTAGGGTTTAGGGTTTAGGGTTTAGGGTTTAGGGTTTTAAGGAGGGACCCTCGTTGGAAGCCTTTTCGGCTTAGTAAGCAGGGTTCGTAAGGTGGGTTATGGGGATTACCATCGGGCTGCTAAGGAAATTCTAAGTAGACTTACTAAGTCAAAAGAGCTTCGAAGTAGAAGGGACCCTTAATCTTGTTCTTGTACTTATTTCCTATATAAATTCCTATATATATATATATACACCCTATATAGTACCTATATACCTAAGTAACCGCTACATCCCTGAGGTCCCTCATCAGGGTGCCTCCGTTAGTGTTCTGACTTTCTAGACCTTGGCTTAGGACTCCCAACTTGGTAAAAGTTCAGGGTTTAGGGTTTAGGGTTTAGGGTTTAGGGTTTAGGGTTTAGGGTTTAGGGTTCAGGATTTTCGAGAACCTCCTATAATTGAGAGCTGTTAGGGCTCTCCACTTTG